AATTTATCACTCACCATCATTTATTGAGCATATGCTGAAAACAAGTTGGCAAAGAACTGAGAATGAACTACAGATATTTAAAGAACTTTTAGAATAATGGAAATTATTGTAAAAGGGCTTTTGGGGAACTGTCTTTCATTTAAAGAGGTTTTGTCTAATAGGCAAAGTGTGGAGTTTGGGAGAAAGGTAAGGTGAGGATATTACTTTGGGAGTCCCCAGCATTGAATCAGTCATCTAGGGTGTGAAAATGGGTGGAAAAGAAAAACTGAGGTCTGAGAACTATAGTCTAGTGATGCCAGAGTATAGAGTAGGGCTCCCTTTCTGGCTGCACAGAAGTTTAAAATCATATGGCCTTGGAAGCCAAACTTAGGAAGTGTTGAGGAAAAGGAGATTGTTCAATAGTGCCAAGCACAGTGGATGCAACAAATAAGACAACATTGGCCATTCATTTTGTGAGTGGGGAGGTCGTTTTCATCTTGACATGGGCAGTTTCTGTGGATTAGTGAAGATGAAAGTCTAAATGGAGTATATATTTTTTAATTTTTATTTTTTGAGACAGGGTCTCACTCTGTCACCCAGACTGTAGTGCAGTGGCACAAACGCAACCTACCGTAGCCTCCACCTCCTGGGCTCAAGTGATCCTCTCTCCTGGGCCTACCAAAGTGCTGGGATTATAGGCGTGAGCACCACCGCGCCCTGCCTAAATGGAGTATTTTCATGAGAGGATAAGAAAGGAGAAAAGAAAGATGGTCAACATAGATAATTCTTTAGAGAAGTTTTATTATAAAAGGAAACAATATGGGAGGTGCCTTGAGGGACTTGGAGTTAAGGGATTTTTTCTTTTTTAAGATGGTAAAAAGTTGCAGCCTGTTTTTCTGGTTTGGTTTTGTTTTGTTTTTTAGAGACAGGGTCTCGCTTTGTCACCCAGGCCAGAGTGCAGTGGTGGGACCGTAGCTCACTGCAGCCTTGAATGCCTTGGCTTTACCAATCCTCCCTCCTTAGCTCCCTGAATAGTTGGGACTACAGGTGCACACCACCATGCCCAGCTAGTCTTGTCTTTTCTTTTCGAGACAGGATCTCACTACATTGCCCAGGCTGAGCTTGAACTCCTGGGCTCAAGCGATCCATCTGTCATGACTCTCAAAGTGCTGGAGTTACAGGCGTGAGCTACTGCGTGGCCAAGGTTTTTGATACTATTGTGGCTAATGTCATCAACTCCCCAATATTCACTCCACTACAATGGATTAGCCTAAGCCAATCATGATGACTGTGCAACTCATGCCAAGGATGGGTTTCGGAATACACGAGGGACCTCACTTTAGTTGATGGGTATGAAAGGAATTCTAATGCAAAGGTGGAGAGCTGGCTTGAGGGAGACTTCAGGGAAAAGTTCTAAATTCTTTTACAAACCCTTGAAGAAGAGATGATTCCTCCTCTTCTTTCTCTAGATGCTTTTAATTTTGAGGCCTGGTGCTGCTTCAGCCATCTTATCTCCAGTCTGTGATTGAGGCTAATACACATGGAGATCCAAGTGGAAAGACATGCAAGAAGTGGACCTGGAGCCTGATATATCACGCCTAAGGCAAACCTTCTCTTTAGGCTTTTTTTGATGTGAACTAACATATTTCCTTACTTTAAAGCCACTTTTAGTTGTGATTTCCTGTTACTCGCACCTGAAAACATCCTACTGATACTGATAAGTCCCGAAACATTGCTCTTCAGAAAGCTGTGTACATGCACTCCTTGAAAATATGCCACAATATGTTGAAATACATCCTTAAAATAAGTAATAAATACCTTAAAATAGGTTTCAATAAATCTAAACGCCATTGGGTATGAGTGTGTTTGTCAGTAAGATTTTTTGTCAAAATTAGTCTGATCAACTTTTGAGGTGTTGCTTCTAGCAGGCGCACAGTTAAGTATTTGCTGGCTACATGTGACTGATGCAGTGTGGAGGCTCCCAGGGGGAGGTTTGCTCTGTGGCCTCAGGCCTCAGGGTGGAGGCAGGTTGTGTGAAGGCAGTGTCACTCTTGATGGATCCCATATTGAAACTAGTTTTTGAATATCTCTTGAATCTTTTCTCTCCATTCTCAGAGAGTCTGCCTTTGTTTATCCCCTTATAATATCTTCACTGGATTCTTGCCAAGACATTGTAGCTGTGCTATCATGAGACTTCTCACTCCTCTGCTACAAGACAATCTTATTCCTCCGCACTCTCTCCTTGTGGGTTAAGTCCCTTCCAAGATGCTTCCAAGTTCCTTCCTTACAAACATAAGGAATATGGTGCTCTCATTCTTCTGGTTCCCTGGATATTCCTGGTATCTCTGCATCTTTGGGTTGCACACCCTTTGACCTTTGAGCTGGATACAGAAGACATTCAATACAGTTTGAAGGAGGAATGAATAGGGCAACCTAGCAGTATGTGCATTGTTGTCTGAAAAAAAGAAATCGGTATGAACTGCTTCAGGAGAGAAATGGAAAGCTGGAGGCTTGGGAAGTGAATTAGGCCTGCAGGCAAGTTTTCTAAAAAATGTTTTTTTGTTTTTTGTTTTTTTCACTTTTTCCCAGGCTGGAGTGCAGTCGTGCAGTCTCAGTTCACTGCAACCTCCACCTCCTGGGGTCAAGTGATTCTCCTGCCTCAGCCTCCTGAGTAGCTGGGATTACAGGCGCCTGCCACCATGCCCGGCTGATTTTTGTATTTTTAGTAGAGATGAGGCTTCACCATGTTGGCCAGGCTGGTCTCGAACTCCTAACCTCAAGTGATCCGCCTGCGTTGGACTCCCAGAGTGTTAGGATTATAGGCATGAGCCACTGCTTCCGGCCTAAAAAATGTTTTGACCAGGTTGCTGGCATTAAAAAATTGGGAGATTTTATATTAAATCATCTGGATTTCTGGCTTATTTTGACATCAATGGCTCATTCCCAAAGAGCAGTAGCCAGCTGGGGCCCACTAGGGTCCCTCCTTCTGGGGGTTCTCAGTTTGACTCATTCCTCAGCCGGCCTTTCTGTTACCTGCATGCTGCACTCAGCCTCAGCTTTGGGATTGTTCCAGAACTTCCAGTGCTCTGCTCTTATGTGTCATGGTCCAGGCCTCTGTGGACTGTGTCAGAGGCTGTCACTGCCCTAGTTTAGGGATCAAAAGCTCCATTATATATTTGTCCTTTGGTGTCCAAATGCCTCCTTGTTTCCTGCAACAAGCCAAAATTTGGAAACCTGGTTTCTGATTAGAGCTCAGCTTTCTTTTGAAGTCTCTCACTTTTCTGGATTCTTCTCACTTTTCAGAGTGTCAGCGTCCTTATTTGTAAAATACATTATCTGGACAGATGAGCTGTGAGGTTGTGGACTGTCTGTGGTTATTGTGAATTTATCCTGAAACGTATCTGCGTGTTATGCGACCCTGAGTTGAAGGGTACAGGGCCGGTGGGGAGGGTACTCTATCTAACAGGAGCCTTGCCTGACATGGGGATAATGGCCCATTTCCCTCCTGTCAAACCTGAAGCCTCAGGAATTTCCGAAATACTGAAACCCACTCCTTTGGCTTATGGCTCCATATAAGCTGTAAAACACACACTCAACACTTGATACTTTTTATTACGATGAAAGGACCCTCAAGTGCAAGTGACAGAGTATGTTGATCTATGGTTAGGGGCATAACATTGTGCTTTACTGTCTTCAGAAGAGTTTTGCCCAACTGTGGCTTTAACTTGACATCCAGACAACAAAGCTCCCTGATCACATTTAATAAGAAAATTTAATAACCCCCTTATTGAGTATTTCTGCTGCCCCCATAGATTAACCTTTAACAAATGAAGCTTTCGTTGCCACACAGCCTCAAGAATGTCCTCTCTGTGATGAATGTGTCTAAATTTGTGTGGACGTGAGGTCTCTGGAGGCTGGGAGAATCCTGTTGTGTGTGGAACAGTTTCCAGGGAGCCAGCTCTAGTGGAATCGATGTCGCCAAGACACTAGGAATGACTTCCAGGGCCCACAGCCTCCTAATCACACTCATCCACACTAAATTACAACATATAGAAGAAACCCATTTCTCCAGGTTTTTAAATACTAGACACACACAAACAGCCAAATAATTTTGCCAAGATTTTTAAATCAATGGTCATCTATTTGAAAATGGAATGATGGACTGGCTGTGCTGGTTCACACCTGTAATCTCAGCAGGTGGCTGAGGCAGAAGGATTGCTTAAGCCTAGGAGTTCGAGACCAGTCTGGGTAACATAGCAAGACCCCATCTCTACTACAGATTAAAAAAAAATTAGCTAGGCATGGTGGTGTGTGCCTGTAGTCCCCGCTACATGGGAGGCTGTGGTGGGAGGATAGCCTGAGCCCAGGAGTTTGAGGCTGCAGTGAGCTATGATTGTGCCACTGCACTCTAGCCTGAGTGATAGAGTGAGCCCCTGTCTCGAAAAATAAAATAAAATAAAAATGAACAGTGGGTTACTGTGGGTCACAGCAGCATAGCGGTTGTTGGGAGGTGTTCGTGATAATGTGATGGGACAGTTGGTGTTGTCATGGAGACTAATCCACATTATGTGGACAAGAAAAAAGAGTCAAAAAATGTCTGTATTTTATTTTGTGAATACCTTATAAACATTATGAAACAATGCTTATTTACCATTTAGCAGAAGATACTCTAGATGTACGAGCTTGAAGAGAATTTGAAAGAACGAACTGATAACACTGCAGGATCTTTCCCAAGAGCTGTTGCATCACTGTTTCCTGGGGTTTAACTGGATGATATCACAACAAATCCTTCTACATGATTTTGTCATACTGCTCCTTGTAGATCAGAGAAATTTTGATTTACAATAATTTTTATTTATGATTATGAATGATGGCTTCGAAGATACTTTAAGGCAATGAATGTGTCATGGAAATTTCTATTACTTTCAGGTTATGCTGGATAAGTTCACAGCTTGAATTATGTTTGGTCTCTAATATTTAAGGTTTAATTATTGTTGTGATTTTTTTTTTTCATTTTCAAGTAAGCCTAGAATTGTATGATTGGAACTCAATGACGGTAAATACTTATTATACGCCACAGTTTATTTGCATGATATATATTTTTACTAAGTGAAAAAGTTTTCTAGTACATATATATATACACACACGCATACACACATATACGTACTTAATACTTATTCTAACGAAACTTTACGTTCCTTATTATATACTATACCTTATGTGCTCAAAGTGCCTTTTTGCACCCTTGGATCTGTTTGAAATCAAGATTTCTGGCTTGTAGATGTATTTTTAATTGGGAACAGATGAGCCCCTGGCCACCTGGGTGAATTATTTGGGACTGCGGTGTGTTCCCCTCTAGCACTCTGCACCCTATGTGTTTCTTCTGCTTCCCTAGGGAGGTGATTGGTGAGTCTTAGGGAGGGGCCAGGACAAAGGTCCTGTGGCCTGGGGAGGACAGGTTATAGTTTAAGCTAACACCTCGTACGTGCTAGGAAGTCACCAAGGAAGGAGGTGGCCTTGTCCCCCGGGGGAGTTTGCACTTGTGTACCTGTGGCTTGTCACGTAACCAAGGTGACTGGAGAGACTGGCTAGGTCCTGGAGAGTCTCACATTTTAAATTTTAAGTTAATTATTACTATTTGAAAGGAAGTTTGCCTGTGTTGTGCAGGCTGGCATCGACCTCCTGGGCTCAAATGATCCCCTCGTCTCAAGTGATCCTCAGGCTGAGATGACAGTAGCTGGGACGACAGGCATGGGCCACTGTATTACTCAATTTTCATACTGCTATGAAGAAATACCTGAGACTGGGCAATTTACCAAAAAAAAAAAAAAAAAAAAACCTTTAATGGACTAACAGCTTCACATGGCTGGGGAGGCCTCACAATCATGCAGGAAGGTGAAAGAGAAGCAAAGTCATGTCTTGCATGGCAGCAGGCAGGACGGGGTGCAGGGGAACTGCGCTTTATAAAACCATCGGATGTCATGAGACTTGTTCATTACCACAAGAACAGTATGAGAAAAACCCATCCCCATTATTCAATTACCTCCCACCAGGTCCCTCCCATGATATGTGGGGATTATGGGAACTATAATTTAAGATGAGATTTAGGTAGGAACACAGCCAAACCATATCAGCCACTGTGCCCGGCCAAGCCTACAGCACCTAGTATTCCCAGGTGGTCTCCCATCCAAATACTAACCAGGCCCAAACCTGCTTAGCTTCTGAGTTCAGATGAGATCAGGTGCATTATCTTCAAGATGTAGTATTTGCACCATCGATTCTAGCTTCTACACAATGTGCAGGGACATTGAATAGATCTTGTCCAAATCCCAATTTTTCTCTGTCAAGCATTGCCTCATCCCATAGTAGGAATGAGATAGAGAACACGGTAATGCCGCAGTTCAACTGCCCTAGAGTGACAGAAAAATGAGATGGGTAGAGATAAATACTACTACAAAAGCTCTCATTTCCTAAGTTCTCTGCATTCTATAGCAGATGGAAATAAAATGGGCATCTATTCTGGACTCCAATGTTACCTTGCCCAGGACTTTGTGACTGTCATCGAGGCATGACTACATACCTGTGTCCAGTTAACCACCACCAAAATAAGAGCAATGGCTCCTTCCGATCTCCCCTTCCCCTACTTGGAGGATGTGTGTGTGTGGGAAAGATTGCCTGCTGAAACTTCACACACCTTTGGACCCCAGCATGTCCCCCAACTTTGCGCTTGCTGTTTCAGGTCACTTAAGCTGATATTAATGTTCCTTCTCATCTATTCCCCTCCCTTTTTGATGTAAACAAGAAAAAACAAAACAAATGAACGAAAAACCAATTTTCATTCCCTTGTTTAAGGTCAGATGCCATGAGTGAAGAGGGCTGGTTAACAGTGAATATGTGGCTGGGCACAGTGGCTTACGCCTGTAATCCCAGCACTTTGGGAGGCTGAGGCAGGAGGATCACCTGAGGTCAGGGGTTCGAGACCAGCCTGGGCAACATGGCGAAACCCTGTCACTACTAAAAATACAAAAATTGGCGAGGCGTGGTGGCAGGCGCCTGTAGTCCCAGCTACTGGGGAGGCTGAGGCAGGAGAATCACTTGAACCTGGGAGGTGGAGAGTGCAGTGAGCCGAGATTGTACCATTGTACTCCAACCTGAGTGACAGAGTGAGACTTTGTCAAAACAAAACAAAACAAAACAAAACAAATGCATGAGGGAGAAGCTTTACAATCTTGTGAATAAAAGGAAATGTGTTCTGAAGGCATCAGGTGGCTTATCTTTGAATCTCTGGGGCATTGTCACAGGACTGTGGGGCGTTTAAGCCTAGACAGAATTGTCTAAGATTATTAAATGAAGGAGTCCCGCATTCATGGTGACTCAAGCTGTTAGTACTTCCTTTCTTCTGGGATCCAGCCTGTTGTGGCCTCTTTAGGATCAGCAGTGGCTGCGCAGAACATTGCCAAGCCCTTAGCAACCTATTCAGAAGCTCTGTGGGGATGGCTGGGGAGTCCCAGGTTTGCAAATGCAACTATGAGTCAGCCTGGAAAGTCGGCACCACGGTGCCCTCTCCCTGCCCGGCTCCTGCCAAGAAATTCCCAGCTACCCTGCTGTTTATTAAACAGCTCAGTAAAGAAAGCACAGGGGGCAAAACAGTCATCTATGTGAGCAGAAGGCATTCACAAGTTGCCAGAGTGATTTTGTCTGAGTGTTCGGCCTGGAGGTGGCTGAAAGAGGAATAATGAAACTGAACGGGCAGTCCAAGCGGACATGAAACAACGATTACACAGTGGGTATTTCTTTGTAGTTAGGCACTCTCTTTGCCAGCGTGAAACTCAACTTGAACTTACTCAACAGTTTAAAGTCAGGGATTCCAGAGACTTAGCTTTGGAGAACACGTGAAGAAATAACCACCGTTCAGGGGCAATGCTGACATTTACAAGGCTGATGCGAAAGATCGCATGTGTGAATGGAAATACTTTATCATTACGGATTTATCCTCTAATGATGCATGTTTGTAAAGCACCTAAAACTAAAATACATAAAAAAGTTCTCAATAATTTTATACACACACACATCCAAAAGCAGCTGCATTTTTACAGATTAGCTATTTAACTGGTCAAGGGCAGTTAGGCTTAATTAATGCGAACTTAGCCACTAAAGTTAATAAATTCTCCCATGGGAGCTATGAATTGAGAATGTGAAAGGAAGTTCTCTATTTAATAGCTAATTAAACGACTAGTGTTTTCCTACAAAATCATTTTCTGGGTTTTGCAAGCTAATAAGGAAGCGTCACTTTGATTTTTTTTTTTTTAAATCAAGAAGATTTAAGACAATTTTTGCTCTGTAAAGCAACAAAAAAATAATTCATATAGACTTCATGGAAGATTTGTTTGTTTGTTTTTAGAAAAACTTTAACTATTATAAATATTTCCCTAGTTGCCTGTAATGTAAAAAGTCAAGACATTTGCTATTGGATTAACAATGCTTTGACTGACTCACATACTGATTTTGAGTTATTATTTCAGCTAAGATGAAAGAAAGTTTCATAAAGAAGGCAGTGAAAACCCAGGATCCCTGTTCCCCAGGGTGGTTTTGTGGTAATAAGAGGTTAGGGAGCTTTAATCAGTGACTTTGGCATCTTTACTCAATATATGAAAGAATTACGAAGGTTCCGTAGGTACCGAACTTCCTCCCAAGGAGGGAGCTTATAACTCAAAAACTTAAAGATTTAAGTGCATTGACTAAAATTCAGTTGTGAGAGAAGGGAGAATTCTTGTTTGAGAATTCCCTGCATAGTCATTTGACAATCACCATAAGACTTTCTTATAACACTTTACTGAGGTAAATTTAAATATAGTAAAGTGAAAAAAATCTAAGGCAAAAAATGTGATGACTTTTATACATATGCTTACAGCCACGTGACTACCACACAGTTCCGTGTTCCTCAGCTGAGTGCAATTCTAATCTTTAAGAGGAGGTTTTTGCTATGCTTTTTTTTTTTTTTTTTTTTCCCCACAGCCTGGCACTTAAAGTGAGCCAAATATTTCTCCAGGTACACTCAGCTGTAGAACTAGTGATTCTGTCCAATGCTGTAAGAAAAATAGGCTGTGATTAAATTTGTTAAGTAATAATTGTTTATTGGGGCCGGGTACAGTAGCTCATGCCTGTAATCCCAGCACTTTGGGAGGCCGAGGCAGGTAGATCACCTGAGGTCAGGAGTTTGAGACCAGCCTGGCCAACATGGTGAAACCCTATCTCTACTAAAAATGCCAAATTAGCCGGGCGTGGTGGCGCATGCCTATAATCCCAGCTACTCGGGAGGCTGAGGTAGGAGAATTGCTGGAACCCGGGAGGTGAAGGGTGCAGTGAGCCAAGATCACACCATTGCATGCCAGCCTAGGCAACAAGAGCAAAACTCCATCTCAAAAAACAAACTAGAAAAAGTAATAATGGTTTATTGGACTTGATTTTGGTGCCTCCTTGAAGGATTTTGAAGAGTAAGTGTGAGCATGTGAAGTTTTGCAATGAGAGATTATTTTACTCTTTCCTAAGATAGGATTCCCCTATAGTCTCAGAACAAAGGATAGTTCTTTGAATAGTATATTTCAGCCTTAGGGAATCACATTTTAGTACTTCATTTTATAGTGGGTGGGTGAAAATTTCATTATGGGTGTTCATCAATTCTCATAATTTAAAGTCATAAATTAAAAATCACTAATTTAAAAGGGTTTAATGTCTCCATTGTGGAAGGCATTTGGGATCTTGGTGTCTGAGTTAGTTTCCTGACCCAAAGGCTCAGACGGTGGAAGTATCATCTCCCTAGTCTCCAGCGTTCTTTAAAAACACAATTACAAAAGATAATATATGCAGTGCCTGGCACACAGCAGGGTGAAAAGCAAATGTAAACTCTTTCCTCTTCCCTCACCATCCTTCTCCTCCTTGATCCCACTTCTAAATGTCATAGCTGAGTACGGGTACCTGTGAATAGATCAAGAGATGTCAGACAGTGGAGACAGGTGAATCTTGAGTTAAGGGGGAGATGAGGGTGAGGTAGTGGTGGAGAACATAGGTAGGTTCAGGGTCTAGAAGCTGAGTTGGGCTGGTGTCCTGAAATATAAGCCTTGTTGGCAAACACAGGCAAGAGAAGGTCCAAGTGATGACAGTTGATATTAAGGACCAATGGATATTGGGAAACAGTTGAGCAAAGGCAATTAATTGAGCACAATCATTCCATTCAATTCAACAAACATTTATGGAGTCCTTTCTATGTGCAACTAAATGCTCTAAGATTTCTGAGTTAGGAACAGCCTAGCATGTGGCAAGTATAATTGATGGCTGATTGCCAACCTTGGGCAAGGACAGTCAATTTCTGCTCTGGCTTGAGTAATCTGGTTTGGGTAGATTAGGATCACAGTAAACACTGTGTTGGGGAGGGTGTAGAATAGGGGAATGACACATTTCTGCATGGTTGCAACCAAAGACAGGGCTTCTGGGAGACCTGCGTTGTAAATGTTCCATCTCATTGGGCTGTGTCCATTTATAGTCTCCCTCTGGCGCCAGATTTTTTTGGTTTTATGTATTTCTAAAACAGAATCCTGTCAATTCCTTCTGAGGTCTTCAACTGGAGTTTGGGTTGGGAGGGCCATGCTATGTAGAGTTTGGAGCCACGTGGGGCCTACCAGCATTATTAAGTTGCATTCTTTTGACGTGTGTGTCTCCCTTTGCCCCAGCCCTGTTCCCCACCTGTGAAGCAGGCTTTGACTTCCATACATTATGGAATACTATGCACATAAGAGAAAAGAGCTTCATTTTCTTTTCAGTTTTTTTCCATACTTCGTCAACAATTAACCATGTTAGAAAAAGTAGAGCTGAAATAATCCCATCAGGAATTGGCACTGGATTTCTGGAAAACTTAGCCCTAACCACCTCTTTTATTTAGTGTGTTTGTCTAGGAATTGAGAAAAGCTTGAGTGTTGGTTTATCTTATGTTTCCAACTAAGAGCAATTTCATAAATACTAGAAACCTTGCAGGGAAAAAACCTATTTTCATTGAATGATTAATGCACTAGGCAAGAGAAATTTGAATGAGGCACTAGGCAAGAGAAATTTGAATGAGTGGAGACTAGAAGTGGGTTTCTTGATCTTCTTCTGCATGCAGCATCTTTTTTTTTTTTTAAATTTGGAATCTATCCTCAAAGTTTGGAAATTTGTTTAGGTTATGAAACCCAGTAGTCAGATGAATGTCACATCTTCATTAAACAAAACAAAACACAATTTTCTGCCTTCTGAACTGAAGAGTGGTGTTACCCATCTCTGTGGAGTAGGGGATGTGGGGGGCTCTCCAGCCTGTGCATATAGGGTCTAACAGCACACACCCCTTTATGTTCAGGGGCCTCCCAGTTATAAGGCTGATGTTGTTTTTTATGACAAGAAACTATTTGCAAAATTTGATTTAGGATCCAATTAGCTAAATTTAAGATTATGAAAATGAACCAGAAAGAGAAGACTCTGATAAACAACTTTGGCTCTTGGGAGGCGGACCCCTCACATCCCATGGGGCCTCCAATCAGAGGCCTCGAGAGAATCTCTAGAAAGCCTGAGAGTGGGTAGACCCTGGGCCCCTGGAGACTGCTTCTGGCCCCTGGCCTTCCTCCACTTTGGGAGAGACCATCCTGTCCTGGAAACACGCTCCGTGGTGACGCCATGGCAGGGTTGGCCTTCTGGAGTCCGTGTCTCTGGAAGCCGCATCCACGTCCCGCTTCCTGGTCCGCACTGAGTGAGGCTGGGAGAGGGTTTCCAGGGGCACTTCCGTTTCAGCTTGTTTCTATTTTAATGCCTGGAGACAATTAAGACCAATGTCTGCTGCCAGGAATTTTTTTTTTTTTTCCACAGTTCACGCTATTCTTAGAAACAGTTGAGCCAGTGGCGGTGGAGTCTGAAGGGTCTGGAATCTTTTCCTTCGTGTGGCAGCAACTTATTTTTCCTGCGGAGGCTCGGTGGTGCTTTTCTTGGGCTCAGGATTGCGGCTTGGATGGCTCATTCCCTGGGAGTGCACACACTGAGCCCTTTGGAAAGGCAGCAGCAGGGCAAGGATCAGTGGCTTGCAAAGAGGCAAAAAAAAGCAGGGCCCGGGTTCCATAGGCAACTGCTTTGTTTACAGTTCCAGAAACGGTGCTTGTTCAACTATCCTGAACTTTTGTAGAAGTTCAAACTTGGAAACTGTAGTGATGAAAATGAGAACTGTGTTTTAAAAATCACTTTTAACTGTCTGTGAAGCAAGTCTACATTTTGGCAAAATGGGCTGCTTTTAATCTGGTCATGTGGGATTTAAAAAAAATTTAATTCAGCTGGATTTTGCAAAGCCCTTGCATTGTATGACATGAGGTTATTTAAGGTATAGTTTTGTCTTCAAAGAGAAGAAATAAGACAACGCATGGATTTCCAGAGTAAAAATAACGAGGGAATGTTATTACCCAAAAGCATGTATTAGAAAGTTCACTTGCAGTGATGTTGAACTGGGAACATTCCAGAAGGATTCCACGTGAAGCAGTGTTTGCTTTTGTATGTTTGAAATGCTCCATAATAAAAATGAAAAACTGTAAGAGCAAAAGAAATAATAATACAGATTATGAAGTAATTAAAATGAAGCAGAGAAAAAGCCTGTAGGATGCAGCCTAAATAAATGATACTTTAAATCAAGCTTATCCAACCCATGTCTTGTAGCCCGCAATGCGGCCCAGGACATATTTGAATACGGCCCAACACAAATTCGTAAACTTTCTTAAAACATTGTGAGTTTTTTTTTTTTTTTTAGCTCATCAGCTATCATTAGTGTTAGTATATTTTACGTGTGGCCCAAGACAATTCTTCTTCTTCTTCTGATGTGGCCCAGGGAAGCCAAAAGACTGGACACTTCTGGTTAAAATAATCATTTACGCCTCAGTCACATATATTAGAAAATGAGAAAGACTGAAAAATTTGCCAGCTACGTGCTTGACATAGTAAAATAGAAAAACAACAGCAAAGCAAGCAGAAAGAAGGCAGAAGAAGGAAGGAAACCATAAAGATAAGGAGAGCAATTAATGAGCTAGAAAACAAAGTAATAATGCAGAAAATCAACCCAACTAAAAGCCGGTTCCTTGAAAAGAGTGATAAAGCCATCTCTGGCAAGCTGACCAAGGACGAGAGAAGAAAAAGCATGAAAAAGAAACAGAGCATAGCTACTCATGGAGATTTTAAAGCCTGTAAGAGAATACTATGGACAAGTTCCTGACAGTACATTTGGAAAGAGAGAAACCAGACAATCTCCTAGAAAAATATTAATTACAAAAACTGGTGAAAGAAAAAGCTGGAATATACTTATAATCAACAAAAGAAGTGAATCAAGTTAATAATCTACAGCCTTCCTTCCCCGGATGCCTCCCCCTCCGAAAAACAGGCCAGACACAACCAAGTTTACAAAATCTTCAAAGAACAGATAAGCACTACTTTGTATAAACTTTTTCAAAGAATAGGAGAAGGACAACTTCCCACATCATTTTGTATGCATAACCTTGATAATAAAACTGAACAAGTAAAGTAGAGTGTAGCAAAATTATAGGTCATTGTTAATTATGAACATGAGTGTAATGATCTTAAATAAAATATTAGTAAACCAAATCTATCAGAATATTTAAATAATACATTTTTGACCAGTTAGTGTTTATCCTAATGTTGCAGGATGGTTTACATTAGGAAATCTTTTTAATGTAATTCACCACATCTGTACATTTAAGATGTTCAAATGTTACTGTATATTGCTTACTGTTTTATGTCTGTAAAATATAAAAATATAGTTAATTACTGTCTATCTCTGGTGATGGAGAGTAAACAATGAAATGGGGATGCTTTAGCTGACACTAAAATATTTTCTTTCTCAAAAAATAAAAAGGTAACTAAAGGAAAGATTGTGTTAAGGATAACACTTCTTAGATCTAGTGGATGAACCCCTTGGTCATTGTCATTGTTTTCATTTTTTCTGAATTGCTGAGATATTACACAACTAAACATGTTTAAGAAAAAAAGAGAAAAGGGCAAAATCTGGAACTTAGATGATATCCAGCACTGTTCTATTGATATATTTCATTTATACTCATTTATGCGCTGAATGAATATTTCTACTAAAAATACAAAAATTAGCTGGGCATAGTGGCACGTGCCTGTAATCCCAGCTACTTGGGAGGCTGAGGCAGGAGAATTGCCTGAACCCGGGAGGCAGAGGTTGCAGTGAGCTAAGATCATGCCACTGCTATAACAGATTATCTGATATAATAGATTATCTTTTCCATTTAAAGTTTTTTCTTAACTAATCTCCTGCCCTACCATTATCAATGCGTCTCCATCCGGTGTTTACCAACACTAAAATTGATTCACTGGCACCTTTCTGTCTGTCCCTTCCACCTCTCTCCTTACCAAGCCAGGAATGTTGCCAGCCAAAGTTCTGCAATTGGCAGGTTTGTTGGTAATGGTGGGTCTGGGGTATTTTTCTGCTCCCGCCCGCTAGTGTGGACTCAGATCCTGGGTCCACCTTCACACTGACTTTCTTAGGACTTAGGAGAGAGAAATCATCCTCAACCTTGGGGCTAATGATGTGACCCTTGCTCAGCGACTCTCAAACCACAAATACTCTTCTAGCCAAGGTCAGAGGTCAGTTACCCATGGGGGACAGGCGGGCAGCAGAAGGGACATCATAATTGGATAAATCTGTTAAATTTTCATATTCCCAATTTATTTGCTGTTCATTTAGGCAATGTCTGCTCTCTGTTCCTCAGTCCCTGTTACCCCTATCATCCCAAAGTCTCTCTGCATTTAGTAGTTCATCACACACTTGTTCAGGGTACCGAGGTCCACATATGAGGGTTGGCACTGAAAATGCCATGAAGAGTAAGACCTACGCCTAACCCTGGCGAAGATTTCCCCTTTGTGGGTGAGACAGACGTGCACTGGAGGTAGAAACCATCTCAGCTGCTTTATTCTTTTGACATTTCTGGTTTATGTTCTTTTTACATCTTAGTTCAATTCCAGCTTTCTTGTGAAGGTTTCCCAGATTTCCCTCCTCTGGGTTCAAACATACATATCCATGTTGTTACCAGGTGTTAGCTCTGGCACTTAGTCCCCCCTGCATTGCGTGGGGAAAGACCACTGACATAGACAAACGAACCCGGGTCTAGTCCCTGATCCATCTTCTTAGCCGTGTGATTTTTTCCTTCAATTCTCAAATCCTTTGTCCTTTCCTTTGTCAAAGGAGGGTAATCCCTATGCCTCACAGAGTGGTCATGAGTATTCCGTGAGCTAATGTATAAGGGAACCAGCCTGGGGTCTGTCTCACCCATAGTCACTCATTAATTATTAGTTTTTCCCTTATTTTTTCATATCTTTATTCTTCATCTATCGAAGAGTTAGTCTATCAACTCTAATTTCTCATCTGCCTCTAAGGTGCTGAGATTCTGATATATTGTTCTTTGATTATCAGCAAACTAGTTATCGCCTATGTATATTTTATTTTCTGAGCATGATTGTAAGTTTCTTGAGAATTGTTATCATTTTGGCATCCTCGCTGTGCTCCAGGCAGCGAGGGCTCTCTGTGTATATCACTAATCTGTGTGTCATTTCTATGTCTGTTTGTTGTGTTTTCCATTACAAAACACAGACTCCTTGAGAGTATAAATTGTAAAACTTCCTGGCCATATTTCTTCAGTGTTTGCTACATTGTTGTACAAAGGGGAGTCTGAGAAACATTCAGAGTGGTAGGGAATGACAAGCCATCTTCCACCATAGGCCCAGCTTTCTTTAAACACTATTTCTAGAATTACTTCTATTCAGAATAATTGATCTTCCATTGAAGCACTCTGTTAGAGTGCAGCATTCCTCAGATACCCTGTTCTGATAATAGCATGATTCCAAGTTGTCGTCATTTTATTCATTTGATTGATCCTTGGAGCATGTACCCATGAACTGTTCGTGGCAAGTAATTGAATTTCAAATCTTATCTCTCTATGATAATCTGATATGTGTTCCTACTGTGCTTTGGCTCCAAATATAATAAAAATCACATTTCTGAAATCCAAATTTTACCTCCAGGGATCTTTCTGCTCTTGTTAACGAACAGTTTGTGTACGCTGAACTCTCTGAAAGAGTTTAGTCAAACAATCCTCAACCCTTCCACTCTTTGAAAGCTCATTATTAGTACATACTAATACAAAACAAACAGCAAGTCTTTTGTTATGAGAAATACTCCCCCAGGCTGAAGGAGTTTAATATTTAGAAAATGACACTCACGCTGTCATTCTTCAGAGAACTTACTTCTATCAGTAAACATATATTCAGTTATTATTTTCCCAGATAGCAAATATGACTAAAGTATTATAGCATTTCCTTGTTGGTGCTCAAACAGTCCAAGTACTGCCTCTTTAAGTGGGATCTTATCCCCCAAGTTAACAATTTAGTTAATAAGTGTTTAGTTTGAACCTCTTCTAACACTTAACACCTTGACTCAAGTAGGCCCTTGGTCCCTGGTTGTCTCAAGGATCTGTCTGAAGACTTTCAATAATCTAAGTTTAATAACATTACTATAGCATAAAATCAGTCTCTCTCTCTCCCTCCTTTTTTTTTTTGAGACAAAGTCTCGCTCTGTAGCCTAGGCTGGAGTGCAGTGGCGCAATCCTGGCTCACTGTAGCCTCTATCTCCAGAGCTCAAGCCATCCTCTTGCCTCAGCCTCCCGAGGAGCAGGGACTATGGGCACATGCCACCACGTTCGGCTAATTTTTGTATTTTTGTTTTGTAGAGTTGGGGTCTCACTATGTAGCCCAGGCTGGTCTCAAACTTGTGGGCCCAGGCAATCCTCCCATCTTGGTCTCCCAGAGTGCTGGGATTATAGGTGTGAGCCACTGTGCCCGGTCAAAGTCAGTCTTGAGCCAGTTAGGAAGAGTGCTGCCTGCCAACACAAGAGCTTTGAAAACAAAAAACAAAAACCCTAAAAGTTTAGCTGGGCACAGTGGCTCATGTCTGTAATCCCAGAACTTTGGGAGGCCAAGGCACTTGAGGTCAAGAGTTGGAGACCAGCCTGGCCAGCATGGTGAAACCCCATCTCTACTAAAAATACAAACAAATTAGCCAGGAGTGGTGGTGTGCGCTTGTAATCCCAGCTTCTCAGGAGGCTGAGG